AAATCAAATCATATTATTTAATGAGTAACTCATTGACTTCTAATTTACTAACCTAATTTAATGTTCTAACCAGTTTGAAAATTGATCCAATTTTTAAAATATTCATATAAATATTGTTTTGGTTATATAATAATAATGATAATAATAATAATAATGATAATAATAATAATAAGGTTTAAATGTGTTTTAATTCTCTCAAAATTAAAGTAAATTTATTTTTTATTTGTCAAATTTAAAATTATTATTTTAATCTTTATAATTTTTAAAAATTATATTTTAATTCTCTAGATCATCAATTACATATATGAAAATGACAGATTGAAATAATTATGTACTATCAGTTGAGTTTAATTTGATATTTTTGTTAATAAAAATACTAATAAATAAATTTTATACAATAATATTTGATAGATTCCTAACAAATTTGAGTAGATATAAAATAAAAAAATTTAAATAAAAAAATTTTAAAAAATCAATTTTAAATTAGAAAAAACTATAAAATAATTACTTAAAATTTAAAAATAAAAAATTTATTTAAACATAATAATAATAATAATTATTATTATTATTAGAGGTAAGACGTAAGAGCTATCACTTTGTAATACAAAATGAAAAAACAAGTTTCCGTCACAACATGAAATAATAAAATAAAAACAAAAAATTCTATCGTAACAAAAACAATTTTTTATTGCATCAAAGACACTAAGCATAGGCTTAACTTAATTGGTTGATAAGCTCTTAATTAAACATGTATATAAATAGAGACAAAAAAAATTTACTTTATTTTGAAAAAAAATCAAAATTTACCTTAATTTAATAATTATCAGTGTATAATTATCCTTTAATATTTTGTTTGATGAAAGGAAAGGGATAAAAGAAATGGAATAAGTGAGAATTAATTTGATAAAGATAAAAATAAATAAAATATAATTTATAATTTTTGGTAGAGTAAAATTATTAGGTGAGAAATAGAAAAGAAATTTGAAATTTTAAAATTATATTTTATATAATTAAAATCTTATGTAAAAAAATATTTATACTCTTACGAGTTCACCCTTTTCTTATACTTAAATTTAAGTAAATATATAAAATTATCATTTTTTTGTATAATATTAAAATTATAAATTATATTTTAAAAATGAACTAACTTAATTTAAATTATTATTAAATTTTTACCGTAAAAATATACCATTAATTTTTTATATATATATATATATGTATAGATTATATTAAATATTGTATTTCGTATATGACCTTGCGCAGTCAAATAATGCCTTGCATATGTACATTGAGAAAATGTAATTGAATTTAATTAAATATATATAAATGGAAGACTATATAATCGAATATGAAATTATATATGGGGATGACAAAATTATTCATATTCGTGTATATTTAAAGATAAAATACATCATAAATAATAAATTGATAATTTAGATGAATGTATGAGATAACAAATATAGGTATTTTTTTAACTATTTATAAACGGAGTGGGAACGAGTATGGTAGTATCCATACTTGTGAATACTTGCTAAATAATATTAATTGAATATTCATATTTTTATTTTATAATTTTCATAATATTTTTAATATTTCAAAAAAATATATTATTAATTACAAGTTTAAAAATTAATATCAATTATTTATTTTTAATATTTCAATATATTTAACATCAAATATAAGTTTAAAATTATTTATAATAATTTTTTAATTTAAATTCAAAAATATTGACGGATATCGTGAATATTTATAAAATTTATGAGTATCACTTAACGAATACTTGCAAGAATATAAAATAAATACAAGATGAATTTTTAATTCACTTAACGGGTAGAGATATTTTATTATTTCTCTCCCCGACCTTATTATCATCCCTAATTACATAATTAAATATAGGTTTTCATTTATAACAATGTGGAACATATTGTCTCAATACATTCTTGTTGAAAAGTACATAAAATTCACTCAAATCTTATTAAATTCCGCTAGAACTCACACATATTTCCATGTGATCCATACAAATCATCTCTCTCAAAGAGACTTTTTTTCTTCTTCAAATTTCTAATAAATAATAATCTCTTTTTTTTCTCAAATCCTTCCTAAATGATCTTTTCTGAACATACCCATAAAAAGAAATACTCGTTTAAAAAAAATCAATTTATATCTTTTTTGGTAAAGATAGGAAAGATTATAAAGATAGTCGTAATAAGGATTGAACTTAGGTCTCCATGTTTCTAACTACCTCAATCGTTTTTCACATAATTACTAGATTAATCCTAATGGTCAACCAATTTTAAATCTGGCAGGCAACAGTTTCTAATTTTCAATTCAAAGAGATAAATTACAAAAATAACCGTGTAAGGGTGATTATTAATAATTTCAGACAAAGAATATGTACTGCATAAAATGGAAAAAAAAAGTTCCAAGAGGACGAATAATTGTCGCACGCAATAAACAAATTTGTGGTGAACTGATGCGCAAAATAAAAGCAAAGAATATGACTTTAAGCTTCGGTTCACATTATCTTTAATCACCGTTGTGTTTAAGCGTTCTAATTATAATGTTATTCCGAATCACTTTGTTCTATTCCTACACGTAATTTTACTTAACTTGTCCATTGCGTGATGCCATCTTTTTACCAACGGCGGGACGATTCTATTTTGGTGGTGGGTAGTTTGCACATGACGACGGAGCAAGGGTTTTTCGTGGCTCGTGACAACATATGCTCCAAGTTCGGGACTCATTATTATATGTTATTATCCTCATTTGCAAGTACTTCCACGATAGGAGTGTCATTCTACTTATTCCAATATTCAAGACGATAAAAAATATTAGTAAAGATATTTCAACATTCAAATTAAAAAAGAGTTTAGATTAAAAATTAAATTAAGGTAAAATAATATCTAATGTTTTATATATAAATAATTGACTTTATTTATAGAATTAGAGATAATATTACATGATTCTAAGAGATACTCATGTTGATAGAGATATTATTTTTGATAATGTGAAATCATAAGAACATGAGAGTTCGTTCACTCAAAAGTTACGTGTGAAATTGTAAGAATATAAGAGTTTGTTTGCTCGAAAATTGCATGTGAAATTATAAAAATGTAAAAGCTTGTTTGCTCAAAAATTATGAAATCATAAAAATGTGAGAGCTCGTTTACTCAGAAATCGTGTGTGAAATTGTAAGAACGCGAAAGCTCGTTGGCTCAAAAATTGCATGTTAAATGGTAAGGGCACGAGAGCTTGCTAGCTCAAAAATTGCATTTCAAATCATAAGAATGTGAGAGCTTGTTTACTAGAAAATTGCTTATGAAATCATAAGAACTCAAGAGCTCGTTCACTTGGAAATCATGTATGAAATCATAAGAACGTGAGATCTCGTTCACTAGAAAATTACATGTGAAATTGTGTAAACGGGAGAGCTCGTTCGCTTAAAAATTGCAAGAGAAATTCTTAAAGTGTTGTTTGGTGGGAACGATCATATATTTTTGTTGAAAATGCGCTTTTGTGGTTTTATTGATGAGTCATTTGAATTTCTCACATGGTTTTAGGTTGTTTCATTAAAACCTCCTTAGTCAAAACCCTTTTCATGGAGAAAAAAAAAAGAAGAGGTTAAGGTAGGAATAAGAGTATAGTTCCCAATTTAGCTGAAATAGTATTTCAAGTAAGTGATTTTCCACATTCTTGGGAGGGGTTTGCCTCCCTGTTCTTGAAGTTGGTATGCCTCGTTGTCTAGATTTTGAATGACAAGAAAGGGTCTTCCCAAGTAGGAACAAGTTTGTCTACTTGTTCATCTTTTCATGCTTCCATGGTGGCTTGCCAAACATGGTCACCTGGTAGGAAGGATTGAGGCTTTAACTTGAAATTGTAGCAATGAGCTATTTGTGCTTGTATGTTGCTTCATTGATTTTTGTTTTTTTTTTCTCTTGCCTCGTCGATAAGGTCGAGTTCAATATTTATGTTCTTAGAGTTTGTTGTGGGTTGAAATGTGATCATTATAGGAGAATTTGCAAAGTTCAACTTGTATTATGGTGTCAATGCCAAATGTTAAGCGAAAGGGGGTCTCATTGGTGGTAGATTAGGGAGTGCAATGGTAGGCCCATAGTATTATAGGTAGTTCGTCCAGCCATGGTTTTTTGGAGGGTTAAAGGCATTTCCTAAGTTCGTTCAGGATGATTTTGTTGGTTACTTTAGCTTGGTCATTAGGTTGTGGGTGTTTAACTAATGCTACTGTGTGTGAGATGTCATGTTCCTTGAGGAAGCTTTTGAATTTGGATGTTATGAATTTTCTTCCGTTGTTAGTGAAAATGATGTGTGGAAGGTCGTATTTGCAAATGATGCTCTTCCATGTGAATTTATGGATATTATTTGTGATCTAGCAACTTGGTTTCAATTCACTTGGTGAAATAATCAATGATAACTAAGAAAATTTTGACATGTCCTTTGGTTACTAGGAAATACCCTAGTATATTCATGCCACACGTTACCAAGAGCTAGGGGAGTAGACGTTGTGGAGTGTTTCTGCTGGTTGGTGCGTGAACATGTCGAAATGTTGGCAATTTGAACTTTTCTTGATGAAGGCTTGTCAATTGATCTAAATCATTGGCCAGTAATATCTTGCTTGGAGCACCTTTGAGATCATGGTTTTAGTGTCGTGAAAAATGAAAATATGTTTTCCCTTCTCTCTTTTCTCTTTAATTTTTTTTACTTCTCATCTTTTATTTTTATTCTTTGTCATTTTTATTATTATTATTTTAGTATTGCTTTAATTTTTTTTTAAAATAAATACAAAAGGTTAAAGCATATAAAGTAAATTTAAAAATATTCAAAGACATATTAGTTTTATAATTTTAGTTTCAAAAATATCACAATTATATAAATGTAGTCTCTCAATAATATATTAACATGTTAATAATGCTTAAATTTCATTAGCACAATCTTGATAAGAAAAGTATCGTTAGCATAACATTTGTGTCATTAACACTTGTTAAAACAACTATATTAGTATTTAGTAGTCACGTTAGCATGTTTGCTTGATATCAAATTGTGTCATCACTAACATATCAACCACTAAAAGGTAACCCCTCTAAACCTATATATAAGGGGAAAAAAACTAATTTTACATAAATTAAGAAGGATAATTAAATATATTTAATTTTTATAATTTCATATAAAATATATATTATATTTACAAAAATACCTTTAAACGCATTTATTATAAATAATACTCTCATTTATTATTTATTATTGTAGGAGTAATTTTAGATTAAGAGCATTAAATGAAATTGATTTACTTAAAATATGCTTATACTTCACTAAAAAAACTTTAAGCATTTTTTATTTTATTTTTACATTTATATAGGTTCAAAGGAGTACTAAATTTTATTGAGTAAACACTCCATTTAGTTCCTGAATTTAAAATACGTTATACTATTCTTTGAAACTAAAAAATTATGAAATACATCATAAATAATAAAATTAACAATTACATTAATCCACAATTAAAAAAAATGTGATTAAAATTTTATTATATATATTTAGAATTGAAATGTCAATAAGAAATTTAATTTAAAAACTTATTTAATGTTCTAAAGACTTATTTAATAATTTTTTAATTTTAAAAATTAATATAACAATTTTTTTTAAAATTTAAGGACCAAAACAATTATTTAATCCAATTCTTTTGAAAGAGAAATGCTTACAAGCACTTACTCTATATTTCATTCTTAACATTCTTTTATTTATTGATTAAAATTTGTCGAAGGTTATCAATTTTGATGAATTTCGTAATAAATCATTTAATGAGTATCTCCTTATCTGTTACAATAGCCATTAAGTTAGTAATATAGAAAGTGTCACTTGATGATGGCTTAATAAAATCTCGTGAAATGTGAATCGAAGACAATTAATTTTTGGAGACATGAAATTTGAACATTTCTTTAAATGCTATAAAGAATCATCATGGAGTATTTACCGTCGATAGCAGTGATTAATCTCTTCGTTACGTTAGAGGCACATCAAAGAATAGAATAATTAGCCTAAAATTTAATGCGACTGCATACACAAGGTAAGATTCGAATCTCTGACCTTGTTTAAGCGTGAATTAATTCCTACCACTAAATCACACGCTTGAGATTAAATGCTATAGAGACTATGACACTCACAAGAAAAAAAAAAGGTTTATGAAAGTTGAATTCTTACATTAGAAATTTAGTGGTATTATTATAATTTTGATTAATAAAAAATTATTAAGATATAGTTTAAGCTTGTAATTCAGAAAAAGAAAAAGAGAATGAGTGTAAGAATATTTTTGCCTTCTTAAAAACAAAACAAACGGAAGTCTGAAGTCTGACTCTCATGAACATGCAGACGCTGTCCCTCTTTGGCTTCCCCCGTCCAATTTCTCAACACGGTGTCGTTCCAGCACACGCCATGTCCTACTCCTCCCAAACCTCCATTCCCTACCTCACCACTACTTCCATCTCTTTTACTCAGCTCCAAGTAATCTCTCTCTATGTCTTTGCTTTTTTTAAACATATTTTTGTTAATTTTTAGTGATCGAGAAAAACAACTCTCGAGTGCCTTTCATCTTCAAAAGTTACTATGGTTCATGTTCCACGTGTTTGGTCCTCTCTGTCGTTTAGTGTCTGCTTTGATGTTAGATTTTTCTTCGTTGCCAGTGCCTTGTGTTTGATTACTATTAAATCTATTGATTCACTTGTTCTTATTTCGTTGTAACAGGATAAGAACGCTGACTTGTCATCGAAGATTGAACAAGGGTTTGGACCCAATGGATTGGGGATTCTATCCGTCACTGATGTATGCGCATACTGTTGCACTTATTTGTTTATTTGTTTGAAATATTGATGAATTATAACGGAATAAACCATCAAATTTACTGCTCTCTCTCCCCTAAGTGATCGCTAAAGAGATCAATTATTTAAGTAATCCTCACCACTTTTGTTGGTGTTTGGATATAGAGTTGAACCAAGTTTGTAAAGAATATAAACCCAAACAATGAAGACAAGAGTCAAAATGAAGGCTGTCTGTTGTACAATTTACTAATAATCATAGTTTTTGTTGAACCTCAATTGCTCAATGTAATGACATCTTAAGGAAGTAAATTATAAGTCTAATTCAATTTACAAAACTAACTTATAAGGTGTGTTATGCATCGGGGGTTCCCACATACACATGTCTCCACATTGGTATGAAATTGTCCACTTTGGACCTAAGTTATCATGACTTTATTTTTGGTCATCACTTAAAAGACCTCTTATCAATGGGGACATTTGTGTGTTATAAACTCATGTCTATCCTCTTGTTCTAACTATGTTGGACTTTGATTATATTCTAACAAGGTGAAATTTCCAACATGGCAATATGGCACGACGAAACACAGAGTAGACTTTTTAAATTTCTGTCTAGTCAGAGAAGTTGGGGATCCCTGTCCCGGTTAGTCTAGAGGTGAAAACGTGTTCTGTTTTAGGGGGCACTATAACAGCTTTGGATCTGGAAATTCCTGTGTATTGATTTTATGGCTGCATTATAATTTGAGCTGTCATAATTATTTTATTGGAATTAATTACAGGTCCCAGGATACTCTTCATTGCGCAGAAATCTATTGCATCTTGCTCCAAGGTATGTACTTTCAGATGATATTTCGGCATATATTCCCAATGCATTAGTAGTAAAACAACAAAGGAGGCCACTAGAAGCTGTTATTTTGTTGATAATAACATGTTTTCCTGTCCTTTTGGCAGATTAGCAAATCTTCCTAAAGAAGTGAAGGAGGAACTTGAAGACCCTCACAGTAGGTAACTTATCTGTATTTGAGACTTCTTGGTTCTTACTACTAAATTTTTAATTTCCATTGCATATTCTACTTCATCCACTGTATATACATATTATTTTCTTTTGCCATTGGTCCAAGGCACTGTGTTTGTTGCTTTCTACAGTGGCTAATAACTTATGCTGTTTCTATCCACCCTGAATTCATAGGTACAATTTTGGTTGGAGTCATGGGAAAGAGAAACTTGAATCTGGGAAGCCAGGTAATTATTTCATCTATTAGATACAGTGATTTTTTTGGTGGTTTCTCTCTGAAGACTTCAATTTTCCATGGATTAAATTTTGTTTATGGCTTCTTTCTCTGGTTTTTCAACCCATTGCTACTTACTGTATGTTTATATTTTGGATATGCATAGTTATTTGAAAAAACTAGCTGTGTTTTAACTTTTAACTTATGGGTTTCATTTTTTTTTTTTGGTATTTTAATTATTCTGTTTATAAGATGTCTCTAAACAAGTTTGTAATTTGTATGCTTCAAAATGATTTGTGAGAAAGAGGGCTATTTTATTGGAAAATCTTCAGTGAGAAATATGAATTAGTGTATTTTTCAAGTCCAATTTGGAAATAAACATGTAAAACATAGATATATACTGAACATGCATGGGTTGGTTGTAATCTTCTGAGTTGTGTGAATTGTCATGCATAGACATGACAAAATTTTGTGTGAGTATTTACATAATTACACACACATATATTCATAGCATACATCCTAATGAAAAGGCATATTTAGTCCCCGCCACCCACTTATAGGTTAAAACCTACAGTGCATTTTTGTATTTGGAATTCTTACCGTGGTACATGATACTTGGAAAATGAACATTGCTACTGCCCAGAAGGAATGAAATTCAATCTGAGCCTTTGATGCTTGGAACAAACCCGTACTGGAAGGCCAAGAGAAAGGTCTATGGTTATGCATTCCATGCCAGGTTAATTTTTTATCTTAGATGAAAAAATTAATGGGCAAGGAACCTCGGGTTGATAGTTAGATGTTGAGCACTTATGTTTTGTTCAGCACAGAATGGCTTCATAAGGAGACTGGATTTGTACATTATAAATCAGATGCTTTTAATGAGAATCCAACACAGATTTGTCCAAGTTATTGATATAGTTACTCTGCTCACTGGAGAGATTGTTGTATTACTAATACTTTCTGAAATCAGGATGCCAAGTCATTGGATATTATTTGATCATGCTATAAGCAATGTATGCTTTCTGTTGGTATGGGTTACGGCATCAAAAGAAAAAGAAGCGATGCTCTGGAAGTGACTTCTTGTCAAAAGAAAGTTATGATTTTTGTGTTAAAATTAATTCATAAAATAAATCTGATCTGTAACTACAGAAAGTATCTTCAACTATATGTTATTTCCTATATTATTTCATTTGTATATGTAAATTTGGAAATTCTAGTACCTAATTGCATGCATGCATATGCAGAAATCATAGTTATCTACATTATAGTAAGGCCTTTTTTCATCTACTTTTTAATTCCCTGATTGCAGATATTTTAAAAGGATCTTTCTATGCCAATCCCATACTTGATACACCTACAACAGAGGCTTCTTTGATACAACGGTAAAAATAGATGAAAACACGTTATAAAATTTTCAATATTTTCTTGTTGTAGGTGTCTGTATTTTATATGGATAATACGAAGAAACTTTTTCCTTATCATAATTCAATTATTATTGTCTTAGATATATGACATTCACACAATTTTTCATACCTCAGCCTGCAAGTTTTTTTTTCTTATAAAACCAATGTGGATTGATGCCTGTTTAAACCTTTTATACGTTACTTTTTATTGTCATTTTATCTTGCTTACTTTTTAAATGCCATTTATTTTATACTACTTCTAGTCCTTTATATAAGAAACAAATGAATGCATTTTTGGTCCTAATTATAAGAAACAAAGACCCATTTTCAAATGTATTAATTGCTAATTTTGTATATACCTTTTGATTTATTGTGATGTCTATTAACGAGACACCTACTCTTTTCCTATGCAAGTGGATTCGTTCACTGGCCTAATAACAATAAAAGTCACATTCATTTGTGGGAAAATTATCACTTGAATTCCGAATAGTCTTATGTAATATAACTACTACTTAAATCATTTAATTCTATGGATATTTCTGCAATAAAATTTAAATCTATGACATTAATTAAAATTAACTAACTTAATTATTTTCATTGGTCTTGATGCATTATTTATTTGTTTCTTATATAAAGGACCAGAGGTAGTATTGAGTAGTTGTCTGTAATTCTATGTCTATGATCATATGCATTTTTTCCCTTGGATTTTGTGTTTTTGCAGGTATCCATCATATTGTGGGTCAAATATATGGCCCAAAAATGCTTTACCAGAACTTGAAGAGGGTATGCCCTGAAGCCTGCACTGATTTTGCATTTGCAGTGTTTGTGTACCTGATTTGTGGAAATATATATTGCTATATTTTTAGATTTTTCTCTCTCTTGTGGTTTTACATGAAGGATCATAAGATGATTGTAGATCATAAGTTGTCTAAGATACAGAAAAGCCAACCCTTGTGCTGATTGGTTGGCTAAGATAGGAGCCTCGTCAAATATAACTTGTCATGTTTGGGATAATTGTACCTCAGAGCTCACCTCTCTTTCCCCAGCTGGTGCCATGGGCAACCATTTTGTTAGACCTTAGTTCTTTCTGTTCTTTCTTCATTTCTTTATTCATCAAAAAAAGAAAAAGACCATAAGTTGTCTTTCTGTGTTGCTTTGCATTTATGAATGAAGTAGTCAACTTACATTGTTTGCTCCTTCACACCTTCTGTCAGTTATTGGTGTTTCTTTACAAGTTTATCCAGATACTGGAAAACATTACTTTTGTAGTTCTTGACTGAAATTTGAATGAATATTTCATCTTTGATAAGAGTATAATTTTGTGAACAATACAAAAAAGGAATTTGTGGTAAAAATATTCCCAATCAATACTGTTTGAGTATCATTAACCAGTTCAAGCTGAATGGTTAATTGAAATATTTTACCAACAATTTCCTTTTTTAACCTTCTTATAATTTTTTCATCCTTTCTGGATAAATGATTAATGTATTTTGACCTTAAAGTTAGAAGATTAGAACATGATACTTATACTTCTTCAAAATGATGATAAACATTAGATGATGGTTATAAATTATCCCAGTTTATTTATTCTGCATATCCTACTGGCCGGTAAAATGATTGCTACAGTTCACCGTTTATTTATTTCTGATTTGTAGCTTTCAAAGCACTTGGGAAGCTAATATTTGAGGTTGGATTGATGTTGGCATATCATTGCGATCAATATGGTAAGGCAGACGTTGATATTTATTTGGCTCAAGACAAAAGCATCTTGAGTGGCCTATGGTGTTCTCCTAGCTTTCTATACAAATTGTTGCCTGTGAGAAGTTGGACTATTTTTCTGGTTATTTTTTCCAAGTTAAGGTTAGAATTTAAATTACTCAGTTGGTCCCTAAACTATTTGAGAATTTTCAAGTAGGTCCCTAAACTATTTTTTTTAATTGGATCCTTGATCATGTAATTTTTTTTCAATTGATTACATGATCAAGGCCCAATTAAAAAGGTTTAATTAGTCAGTTGGTTCCTAAACTACTTGGGAATTTTCAATTAGGTTTCTAAACTAAAAAGTTTTTAATTGGGTCCCTGACAGAACTGATGACAGATTGACAAAATTGAACTTGAACCCAGGGACTCACTGTACTAGTCAGTTTTGTGAGATTTATTTAGACCTTAAGCCCAAATTCTAAGACATTTCTTATATAATATTGAAGCTCTAAGGTTTTATGTATAGTAGGAATAAGAGGAATGCTAGTTACATTCTTTCTAACACTTTATTTATTGGCCGAAATTTATTGGAAATTATAAATTTTGTTGATCTCTCATCTCATTTAAGAAGTTTCTCTCCTGATTTAATGGTAGGACCCACTAAAATATGTGATTTTCAACAAATAGTAGACAGTATTACCAAGACTATTAGAGTGAGTGTCGTTGGCATTTTTCATAGGAATAATAATCTGGTCTATGAGATTCTGTCAAGCAAAGCTTCTGATTTTATATTCACAACATTATCAAGTAAGGCCTCAAGCACCCTGATATGAGTTTTGATGCACTCACACTTAGGTGGCATAGCAATTACTACTCATTCCTGGCTTTTTGTTCATAACCACGTTCCTTTACCTATTGCACTTTTTTGTTTCATTTCTATTGCCATCCTAATTTATGTAACACAAACAACTTTCAGTATCCAAAGGGATGAAAATTCACAAGGATGAAGGTCTGGAATCAATACTTCGTCGCTCCCGCTGTCATAAAGGACGTTTGCTGTATTATTTTCCTTCACAACAGGGGTAAATTTGTTATACACTGTCTCTTTGCTAGTTATCCATGGACGTTTGCTATATTATTTCTTAATTCTTATTCACTAGTTCTTGAATTGAATATAGTTTTATATACTTGAATACCACAAACATTTGTAATTAATCCTTTTCCATATACATGACAATATATTAACATACCGATGACTTTTTACAGAATTCCAGATGGTAACTCTTTGTCTTCTTGGTGTGGATGGCACACAGACCATGGTTCACTGACAGGTTATTATATGTTTATTGTTTTAGGATATGGACTGTGCTTTCATATATTTTCATCCATTGTAATATTAACTTCTTATATGCTACATCCCTAATTAACTTGATTAGAGAAGTCCATGGATATTAGAAGCATAAACTTTTATGAAGAGTAACAACATTATAGTTCTTCAGATGCTATCATTTGTCTAATTTCCATTTCAATTCAATATGTAGGTCTGACTTGTGGTATATTTACAAGAGATGGTGTAGAAATTGTTTGCCCTGATAGTGGTGCTGGCCTCTATATTCGAACAAGAAATGATCAAATTGTCAAAGTATACATGCGTCTTCTAGAAATACAAGTAACATTGGATATATAAATGAAAAAGCAAAATTACATAATTGCAGCATTAAAATATTTTATTGGTTCATCTTTCTTTCAATGTGAAAAATCCATCATTTTTCCTCACAGATAGGTGTTGGTAAAATGTCTCCTTTCTTTTGACTGTTTTGAATTATTTCGGACTGGATTTTTTTGTGAAGTGGTTTCAGATGCTTTATATCAATCTGTTGTGGATGATACATTTTAGATAGGGAAATGCTAGTAATGCCCTCTTTGATCAACACCCTTTATTACTGAAAGAAATTCTTGTGGGTTCCACTGAATAAGGAGTACGAGTGATTCCCATGATTTAGCGAGTCTTGCATGAACTTTTTCTAATAATAGTGTGTTGAAAAGAGTATGCTGTCAGCAGCCATCCTTTGAATACGCCATAATGTTTTCTTTAGTAAATAAATATGTTCATTCAAATTACTGCATTGAGGATGAACTAATTTATGATCCATGAGCTGCTAGAAATATTCCTTGTCTTAAACAATAAAAGCATTTCATGGATCTTTTTCTTCTGAAAAATAATGTTGGGTTCCGTGCTTTTGAGGGTTTAAAATTGTAAAATCTGACATGCTATGCCTGAATGGTTGCAAATATGAAGCTCAGAATTTATGTGAATTAATACAATGCATTTACTTGTTTATTCAATCTTATAGGTTGTCTATGGAGAGGATGATATAGCATACCAAATTGGTGAAACCACTGAAATACTCTCCGGAGGTTATCTTTGTGCAACACCTCATTGTGTTCAGGTAATTTAAATAGTCCAATAACATGCATAATTATATTGTCCCTATTTTGTTATGGACTTGTAGCATGCGCCATGGTCATCTTGTTGAATCAAGTTGTTCTATATATTTCTTTTTCTGGCTTTACACTTTACATCAGTGGTCACTTGTACACATGCTACTTGTTGATGCACAATTATATCTCTCATTTCATTGTTTTTTATTCTACAGTGATTGACAATTTTCCTATTAGAAGGCTTTATAAATTTCATTTTAGGAATTGCTATTATTTCTTTTCCCATTTATTTGCAAGGATTGGGGAATGGGGTGCTGGTGGTTTCAATATTAGATAACATTCACCGAGTTTGGTTGGAGACCTACTCAAACTTAAACTGATAGGTGCCTAATGCCCATGTCGGGCAAAATTGCAGTTACTAAGTTTGTCTTGAAACCAACATGTAAGGTGAGTACTATGTAAGCTTTATAAGCTTTACTTAGTCATATCTCTAATTAACATGGGATTAAACCATCACCTTTGAGGTTGCAAATTAGACAGCTCCCAAAGAGGACGAAACTAAGGTGGGCTAAGGGTGATTGCAATTAAGGCGTCTTTCCATCATTCTTCCTCACGGTCAGGACTTCTGGCCTGGAACATGGCATATGTAGGTGGTCCAACAATGGACCTAGAATGAACTATGATACCATCTTAGGATTTGATATTAAGACTTAACTCAACTTTATAAAATCGATTTGTAAGGTAAAGACTGTTTAAAGTTTATTAGCTAAAACTCATGTCTCTAGTTGATGTGACACATTACTACCACCACCCTTGAGGCTGTAGTTTAGGCAGACCCCAAAGAGGCCACAACTAAGGCAGGCCAGGGGAGACTCTAATTAAGGCAGTTTTCCAACAGTTTGGTATGTCAAATTCTTATTAATTAATTAATATTTTGTATATAAATTATTAAATAAATGTTTAATGTTTACCATATGTTGGGCTTCTAGCACCTTTTTTGTGTCACTCAGATTATCGGTTGATCTAGTCTAAATATTCTCAAATGTAATTTATTTAACTATCAAGTGTTTTCCTTCTATTATTCAGTTTTTAATAGCAGTCTTTTGTAATAAAATATAAATGTTATGATACTTTTAGGCTGCTAAGGGGGAGGAGTCCTATGGTATTGAGCGCTCGACGTTTGCATTATTCATGCAACCTGACTGGTATGTTCTCCTAGTCTGAGCAAGTAATGCTAGATTGCTCTGTTGCTTAATTTATGTTTGGGGTTATCTACTATAGTAGAACACAAGTTAGCATGCTAACATGCTAAATATCAGAGAAATCTGAGCTCAATTCTCTGATAATGTATCATAAATTTTGTCTTTCAGGGATGAAAAACTCAAATTTCCCGACGAAGTTCACATTCATAAAGAGGTATGAATTCTTGAGGTCATCACTATTCTTCGCATTCAGCATGAAACAACACACCATATGAGATTTGAATAAAAAAAGATGACATCGAAAGGAAAAAAAAAAACAAAAAGAAAGAAAGAAAAGAGAAGAAAATGAGTGCCCTTGCAATATCATCTGTGATTTTATTATTTGGACGAAATACTAATTTGTTTCGTTTCGTAGAAAGTGCATGTAAGGCAATAGAATTTCAGGTACCACCAAATAAGTATTTTTTGTAATTTCTATATAGCGTCTGAATTTACTGGAAGGTAGGACCGGGGAATGTAACATTCCGAATGTTTTATGTTTAACAAATACAAATGTTTTCTGATATATTAAAAAAAAATACAAATCCATCTCACTTTGAAATCTGCGAAGTTTGCAATCTGCATGATATATTTCGACACCCAGATGATACGCCCTAAACCTGCTGCCTTCTGATTTTAAAAGAGGTAAGCCGCATTCCTAAGTCAAGAATGGGCTGAATTTTCATGTTTTATTTTATTTTATTTCAGCTTATTCCATCAAATGCTGTCCTTACTTTTGGAGAGTATTCAGAGATGTTGCTCGACAAATATTACCACTAAAACAGTAATGTCTACATCTTAGCTATTGATGTTGATTGTTAATCAAACTCAATCTATTCTTTTGGTATTTTTGGCTTCATTTTACTCTGGTTCTCTGATGGTGATTTCATAAACTGTTCATTTTTTTGCAGGACCAAAGGTTTAATACATGTTATTTCTCTGACAAGTGTAACTAGTTGAAGAGACTTAGCCTGTTAATAATTCACGGGACTAGAATAAACATGTGTATATGTGCAGTTGCTATTGGATAATATAGCGAAGAAAAGGAAATTCTTATAAATTACGTGGGATAAGCCCATTTAATATGAACAGGATGTCAATTGATGGGATGGAATGAAAGGTACTGCACAATCCAATATATGTTCCTTTTCTTTAATGGGAAGTAATGCAATGATAAAATCCTATTTGTGATGGGATTTAAGCGTCAAATTTTAAAGTACATAGTTAAACTTTTTAAGTATTTTCAAATCGCGATCCTTAAACCTATCGAGCATAACAGTATTAGAAGTTTCATTACTTTTCTAAGACACGACATACTAATAAATGCATGGAATAAAGTACCAAATCTTTTTCAGTGGAAAAGTTGCTCGACCGAACATACAAGGCATAGTATAACGATTAATTTGCAAGCAAACACCAGCAGATAAATAGAATTTTAACAACAAAAGATATAATTTATATAATTTTGTATGTTTAGGTTACTTAAACATAAAATATATATATATATATATATATATATATATATATATATATATATATATATAGATTCAATTCAACCAAAATAAATCAATAAATAATCCTGTGTTACGATATACATAATTAAATGATACTATTCACTAACTTGATGTGCATGCAACAACAACAACCAATAATTACTAATTAATTGATATATCTAATATCATGATTCATGAACGAAGAATCACGTACGTACCTTATGATCACGTGAATTTATATTTTTGTGTGTTTATAGGTTTTAAAAATAAAATATATATATATATATATATATATATATATATATATATAACTATATGTATAATTTGATTCATTTTTTTCTTTCCCTTCTGCAAAACCAAACAAAATCAGATGTCTCTTTCACCAACTAACATAAAACCAAAACAGACAAGAAAATGTCCACCAAATAAAAATAGTTAATATTTTGGGCGGTCGGCCAAATAGGCAGTCGTCTTTGTAGAATTTTAATTTGGGTAACTAGAAACCAACCAAGTCCATAAGTCTATAAGAAAGAACAATGAATTTAGTAATATATATAAGAGTAGAGTATTTGTGATATTTCTTACTAATATGTAATTGTACTTACTAACAATAAATATTGAAATATAATTACATGATAAAAAAAATTACTTAAAAATAAACAATTTTTAAATAAATAATGTTGCTTATAACATAAATTACTTCTACAAATAAAAATATTATTATAATGTTTAATTAAATTAATATTTAATTATAACAATTGCATTAATTTTTTAAATTGTCGAAAAGTGAAGTATAAATAAAAAAATTTATAAAGTATAGGTTGCTTATAAGATTCTTTTATTTGTAAAAATGTAATGACTTAAGAATGTGTGAGATGATATGTCTCATTTTTAAATGAGAACCTAAATTACTTATAAGTTCCTATTTTTCTATTACTAAAATTTTAAAAGTTAAGGATTTATGGAAAAAAAATAAAGATTTAATATATCATGTAATCTTTGAGTTTTTTTAGAGTTTTTAATTAAGTTTTTAAACTAAAAAAATTGTCTTTTATTCTTTTATATCATTATAATTTAGTCTTCAAGGTGAGAAGTATGTTTACAATTCATGAAATTTGATAAAATAATTTTTATATTATCATACATATCAGATTACTATTTTAAGTAATCATCTATATGTATCAGATTTTAATTCGAATTAGTAAAAAATTTCATAATCTCTTCCATCATAAAAATATTTGAATAGTAAAAAAATTTTGACATATGAATAGTAGAAAAATTTTGACATGCATTATCGAGGATCAAACCATGTCAACATGTTATTTTTAAATGACAAACGTGCGAATGGATAACTTGAAACACTAGAAAAAAAATCATTAAATAACTTCTCTCTGAGATGTGATGGTACTGATCTTACGAACTTATCAAGTCCTTCAAGATATAATAGGGTCTTTTCAACAATGTTGAGAAAAAGAACTATCAAGAAATTAAATTTAATAGAGAATCCAAAAGAGAGAAGAGAGAGAGTTAAAGTGTTTTGGATAGAACCCAGAAAAAAGATAAAACATGTAAAATAAATCTCTATTTATAAAATTAGAGAACTTGCGTGAAGAATAAACAAATTCACATATTTACACTACAACTAACTTACAAGTCTTATTCTCATCGGTACGTGCTCAACGCTTACTTCTTTAAAAGTGTAAGAATATTTTAATATATAAATATTCAAATATTATAAAGATCAAATAATATATAACTTATTTTAAAACACACATATGTAAAACAATATATCAATATATTTTAAAAAAATTTATCAATATCTATAACTATTGATGTGATTGTTTAGAGGTATATTTGTATAAAAAGAAAAAGAAATTCAAGTATGTATCGTTAATTACTTGGACACGGAAGAATTAATGAAAGGGTTTATTCATGGCAACATGGATAGAAAAATTAAAATTGTACATGTATATGTTTTTTTTTAACTAAAAATAAGGGAAATGGAAAAGTGGGGTTTTAGAAGGGTTGATGGGTGACTAAGCATATTCAATAATTCAATCTTATCTGGAATAAACTAGCCGACATGTTGGTTTTTGCCGCCAAACTCAGCAGTGGCCACACACTACATTTGCATCTCATAGTTGCTACAGTCAAAGCTTATTCATTCTTCTTTTATTCGCCATTAAGAAAAACGTGATTATTGGATAAGGACAACAATGCCACCGGGGCACTTCATTGTATTTGTATATCATATATGGAAATTTCCTAACACCATCCACATTCCATTGCACACGGATTCTCATTAATTTTTCATTTATCTACTCTTCCTATTCCCAGTTTAATTAATTGCTTATGGAATTGTCCTTGTCATTCATGCAACTTTCCCCTCTCTCTTTTTGACCATTTTGGATTCTTTTCTCTGTCCTTTCCGCTGACCACACCCATATTCCTTCCGGGCCAGTATGAACTCTCTGCAAATAATTAAAATTAAGCAGCAAATTTCACTTTTACTTCTTAGTTTTTCTTTTCTTTTCTCTTATCAATTATGAGAAAATGGGTGCATCAACTCTCCTTACATGTGGGTGGTAGCTTATGGGGCAATTGGGCCTAATTGGAAGCGGCGAAATTATAAAGACTCAAATGTCACGTTAATTTTAGTCTTTTACAGAGATACATGATAAACGAATAATAGTGAAATTGTTAGCTATGTTTTAAGGTTTGAAAATAGTTTAGAAAAGGAATATTTCGTTAGTGATTTGTTGTTTTAACTCAACGTATGTGTTATCTTTGATAAATTAATCTAGTCTAATTTATTATAAGTATGTAGCTCTTATTAGTAGTATTAAGAAATTGATAGAGAAATTTAGGGATAATATTTTTAGGCATACTCTTAGAGAAGATAATTTATGTGGTGACTTCTTACTAAAGATAGGTTTGAACTCTAGTACTGCACTACTTGAGTTGGAGACCAGTTAATTTGTACCACCAATTTATACCTGATTTACATGGAGCGAGTGTCATTTCTAAGATTAGATTTTTTTTCCTTTTGTTATCAATTTTCATTTACCCAAAAAAAAAAGGAAAAATAACATACATTTTTATCTAATTACAAATTATTATATATGATAGTTTATTAAATTTTACAATAAATAAATAAAATGTCATATTTAACCATATAAAACTATTTAACACTATTATTGTCATCATTAAATTCATCAATTAAATGACAATAAAGTTTTGTAATAATTTAAAAACTATTTATATAGTATAACAAGGTCTCACATATATAATTATTAGATAATTGAATTTTTAAATATGTTAATAAAAATTTAATTTTCAAATCATACATAAAAAATTAATTAAAGAGAAAAAAGCTTATTTATTTTAAGTTTACCCTTGATGCTCATAAAAAATATTATTATAATTTATTTATTGAAAAAAAAAACTCACTTATTTTAAGTTTAAGAGGATATTCGCTGAAAAAAAATTTATTGTAGTTTGTTCTACTGTAAATTATTAGTTTAAAAGTACTATCCACACCCCAAAAAAAAAAAGTTTAAAAGTGCTATGGTCTCACTCGGATGAGTTTATTTTATTAAAGAGATTATGTGTCAAGTATTTTATTTTTAGGTCAATTTAAACAAATGGGTGAATAGTGATGACAATAATAAAATAAAGAAAATCCTGTTAAAATAGCGTTTGAAATTTGTGGCCCAATTTTGTGGCGGCGCATAAGATTGTGACATGAAAATCAAAGTAAGGAACCAGAACATAATGCATGGTGAATCGACATTAACGTAGAAAAGTGGGGCCCCACAACAAGTTGAGTCATGAGTGTTACTATAGGAGTGGTCCCCAACATGTTCTATAAAACTAACTAAGACGGTTCGGTTAATGTGGCCATTCCAAACCAAACCAAATCAAAACCCTTTTCACTTTTGAGTTCGAGTTTGTGTTTGATTCATCGTACCCAACCATGGCTCTTTCTCAACCTTGCAGGAAAACAAGCCTCCGAAAACGCTGTTTTCTCGTGGCGAAGCAACAGAAAACGCGCTTCTACATCTTCGGACGCTGTATAGCTATGCTCCTCTGCTGGCACGACCACTCTATTTCCGACTAGACGTGTCACTCTAACGCGCGTTTCAGCTATGTTGCAATTACAAACATCGAAATTTTGCTTTTTGCCATTATGGGCACGTTCTTGCTTTTGCTACACTCGTGGACAAGATGAATCACAAGGACGGGTGTGGGAAAGTGGAGGATCACGAATCACGATGAAGATACCCGCAAATGGGGTTGTGTGTTTTGAAGTTGAATTGAAGAATTCTTGAAGCACAAGGTGGAAAAATTGAGTCTTTGAAAGTGGTAGCTTATAGGGTAGGGTTAGTTGATCGGGGGAAATAAGGTCTTCAAATTGGGACCCTTTGAGTTGAGTGCCAAAAGGGTGCTTAATTCGTTTCCCTGTGTAATTACTGTTGTAATTATCTGACCTTGTTTTACAAATTTTATTGAGATGAAACAAGTGTTCTTTCTCCAAGTGCTATCTTTCCAAGATACTATTTTGATTTATAAATTGTTCAAGGTTATCTACCGCGTGTGAATATTCTTTCTATCCCTCATCCATTATTAAACGGATTGAGGGTTGAGACCACAATTTTGGTTATGCGAACGCGTAATGAAGGATTAGAGTACTTATTTGTTGACAAAGAATTGAGAGTTTGTCATAGAAGATCATTCCCAATTTCCCATCGTAGACCTATTATTAAGTATTAACCGCTAAGCTTTTGAAATCTTATTGTATACTCAACAGTAAGCGCCGACTATAATTATTATCTATCCAAGTCATTAAGTAAGTCAAACAAATGAAAAATAAAAGGACTGACACCATGAATATGAAATTTTTAGATTGTTTCACGAGGTTCAGAATGCTGGCAGAGCATACCAAGAATTGGTTCTGCCTTTGATACCCCTTAAAGATCATCAATATTGATCCCAACACCTATACATTCAGCACATTATTTTATTAGGTACCTACATTAGATGTTGCATTTGAAATATGGGTTTAATGGCTAATGCATTGTTAGTGTGGTTTGTGATTTGGATGATAGTAGATAACTATTTTACACTGTAGATGTATAGTCTATGTTCTCTTGAAATATTAGATGCATGTCCAGATCCAGAATTTGTGTGTCAGATGATTGATGAGATGTCAAGGTAACAGGGTTTTGGATAAGTTAATTGTACACAGTTGTAAATAGTGTTAAGATAAGAGTTTTGATGAGTGTGGTTTGTTACTTTGCATTATATTTTTCTGTATCAGTTAATTCAAGTTAGTTTGACGTTAACTCTATCATGTCCTTTTGTGGTTAACTCTGTATCAGCTCCTCAAACATCCATAAACCAGTTAGCTGATCCCAAGAACTCTGTAACTGATTCATCCTCGGTTCAACTTCAAGTCACATCAATTCAACTGTTGCAAATTCCTTTCATGGTCTCAGATTGTGCATACCACATCATTAGAGGAAAGATGGATTATCTAACAAGTGGCACAAAGGAATGCTGAGAACTTCATGGTAATGATACTGCTGGTGAATTTGTTATCAAGATCCACTAATAGGTGACTAAATTACATTAGCAATTCTATTTTTTTCGGTTTAATTACCAGAACATGGGAATAACTCCTAAATGCATAGATTCCTTTTTTTTTTTTGTCCCGCTATGGATATCCCCCTAGTCCACCGGGTAAAAAACTAATTTCGTGACTATTATTGATTTGACAAATTTTTAGCAGAGTTAAATATGAGTTTTTTGCTCAATAGATCATTTTCCCACAATGTGCGAGTATAAGGTGTTTAATCACAACCTATTGATTAGATTCATTTATCTATTCATTTACTCATAATATATTTAGTCATTAGTCGTACTGCATTTAAACTACTTCAGAATAGGAGCTGTCACATGCTTGGTCACAAGTACGCATTGATGATCTTTCCGTACTTGCCTTCACTGTGCATGCAATGTCTCCGCTTAAGCCTTAAAAAGCGTGATTAAATTAAAATATTCGTAGCACTAGCATTGAATGTTAATGTTATGTTATTGGTGCCTCAGCACATGCATATCTGATCCTTGTTTCCCGTTTGATTGTTTAGGGAGGTACGGAGGAAAAATATTAGTAGTTTTGTTGATATTACCGAAGAAAGATCTCGAAAGCAGTTACATCAAAATCGGTACAAGAAATCATAATTAGGTACCAAACATGAAACAGCTAGTCTGTGTCAGTGTGCGCACATTGAAATGCGTTAAAATAAGTTTGCTCTACGTAAACAGCTTGTAAAATATTTTATTGTGTAAGATATGCATTACTATACATTGAAATGAAAGGTATGATTGAGAGTTGAGATGACTCATGAATTGATTCTTATTTCTTAGGTGTTGAACAAATGAACGTCAAACTAGGATTTTTCGAATGAATCGTGGTGATACAAATTTTACTTATGATTATGAACAAGGCTATGCAGCTGGTCACATGCGAGTATACTCTTTGAGGAAGTCCAAAACCCCAAAACATAGTCTTATTAAAGTTTGTAATTAATATAGAAATTGATCTCATTCTCATGTATTACATGAAGTAAAGGAAAGGTTAAATTTAGTCACAAGACTGATACAATTTTTTCATCTTCACATACAATGAACAACGCAAAATCTAAATTACTACTTGGTATGGTAGAAGCAGTAGAAGCAGTAATCAAGCGACAGGATGCACTATAACTTGATCAACAACAGGGCCACAAAGAGATCCGTAGTCATGAATTTTTGTATGGTAGAAAGAGCTATAGAATGTGATTCTGGTTCTGTTTTCAATCGCTTTGAACTTGAAACTCACAGTCTTGAAGTGGCCTTTTCCCACAGATTTGAAGGGAACTTTGAGGGTATCTTTTGCTGCAAATGCTTCAACCATCATTGATCCGTGACAGCCATTTCGCGCGTCTCCAATTGTGAACTTCATGTTGTAGACTTTGTTGGGAACTGTTCTTAGAATTTGGGCAATGACACTTTCCCTGCCTGCAATAAGCTCTATTGCTCCCTGACCAAATGGGACAGTGAAATGTTCTGAATCTATGAACTTCACAGCTTTGAGGGATTCAATCATCCAACCAGGGAGTGGAGACATACGATCTTCTTGCTTGGGAGGGAGCAGAACACCGTGTGTAGAGTTGAAAATAGGGAATGGACCCTCCTCAAACCCAGGATTTTTAACCAAATTAGCTGCAAAAGACCATATTGCATGTAGTCTTATCAGATACCAAATAAGCCAAACACAACTCCCAAATGCAAACTGAAAACATATATAACTGATATTTCATATTTTATATATATTGTATGGAGAAATTATTGCATGATCTCGGACCATGGCAAATATATCATCCCAACTAATCTAGGTAACATATAATCAAACTTTTTAATTTATCAGAAAGAGTTAATAAAATCCGATTGCATGTCACGTAGAGATTAACAAGGACCTTGGTGATCCTCCACATTTGCAATAATTTCTGCCGTTACGTGGCTTCCTACTGTAACACATTATTTTACTAAATGACAAATTTGGAAAACACTAGAAAAGTGAACTGCATCCCAAGGGACTAAGAGCACCTCCAGCGGCACGTTCTTAGTGTGTTGCTTACTGTCATCTTATTAGTGGTGAGAAAGCAAGGCAATGAGATCTACAAATTAGGATGACATAAGACAATATTTTTGTAAGCATATCAAATATGTCTGATTACCTCTTGTAGGCCTTGGAGGGTAGAACTGTGCAATAGCAACTGCATCCACGAGAGGACCACAGGCAGGGTCTTCTTGAATTCCAGGGTTGTGTAGTGTCACTTTGGCAACATTAGAAGTGGCCCTGAATCCCCAAGCAATAACATCACCATTGAGGCTATAAAGGGTCTGCAAAGGAACATCTCCAGATTGGGGAGGCACTGAGATCCTTAAAACCTCATCTTGAGCACAAGTCCTTGAGGCTCCAAGAATTAGAGAATACCACATGCCAGGTTTGACCCTTATGGTTTGTGAGATTGAAGCCTCATTTCCAAGCCTCACAGCATGTTCTCCATGACTAACTGGGAAGAACATGCCCCCAGGTTGTGGCCCCCCTGAGACATACTCAACATGACCATTGATCTCCCATTTTGGAAGAGCATGTTTCCCAATGAGTGTGCTTTTTTTTAGGTTTCTGGGGTCTGGCCTCTCCTCAAAGTTACCATTCCTAAGGTAAGCTGTCATAAACCACAAAAACAAGCACAACATGTTACATTATGTTACATTACATATTTACATGTGTCAAGTGTTAGAATCAAAGCACAGAAATAATATAAGGTTGTCATAAGAAAATATGAGAGGGTGTCAGCAGAGAGCATTACTTTCTGGCACCCTGCGATGAACTGCAGCAAAAGCTGAAGCCGCACATAGCATGGCCAGAGAAAGTGTGAATATGAATGTGGCTGCCATTTTCACCACCAAAACAAGCAATGTGTGAGGAAGAGAAGGGTGTTATAGTGCAAGAGCAGAGGATGGAGCTTACTCCATTTTATGGTGCAACAACACACCACACGTTGCCAACAATTCGCCTCTTTCGATGCTTCTCCAATTTGTGCAGTAAGTTGCAAGTTTGTTTTGTTTTATAAAATATAAACTTGGACTTAAAATATTCATAGGGATGAATATGAAATTTATTTAAATTTCTTATTTGTAAGTGTATTAAATTAAAAATATTAAGGTTTCTCCTAGTATAGGGGTTGAGCTGATGTTTCCAAATTCAATTTTCGTTTGTATTAAAATAATTTTTGAGCCCATAAATACAAATGATTATATTCATAAATAAAAAATCAATAAATATATACCATACTTTATTAAACATTTTTTATTATTGAAATCAATATTAACATGGTAATATTCTTTACTAATTTTTATTTTCTTAAACAATATCACTAGTTAATTTTTCAATAATAAATAATAAATTAAAAAATGTTAACACTTTAAATATGCTCTTTATTTAATATTTTATAAAACATTAAAGAGAATAATATGTAAATATTACATGTCAATAACAAAAAAAACTACTTCTAATATCCTATATTATATATTATGTTTAAATATTTTAAATAAGTAGGATTTTTTTGTTAAAAAAAATGCTATCAATTAATGTTTACTAAATAGAGACAGATAAACAAAATTAATGGTAGAGTTTAATTTAATAGTTTGACTTTGTGAACCTAGTTTTTCTCCGTAACTCCTGCGACGGGCATCTAGTTTGGCCTTACGATTTAATTGTTAAATGACAATAAATTAATATTCATGTTTTGTTTTAAGTTAGCAGTTACATTATGAACCTCGCCCCACATGCATTTCTTGTGAGAATTCAAAGGAAATAATTTTTTTTATCTATATTTTTGTATTATTTCATCCTATAATGTTTTATTTTAATACCGTAAAATGCTATTTCCTCCAACTGAAAGATGATTCTCTTATACAATTTTAAAATAATATTTTCAAGTTTTTTAGATAAATGTTCTTTCTTTCTTTCTTTCTTTCTTTCTTTTTTTTTTTTTTTTTACTGCAGATGAATGCTCTTAAGTTGTGTTTAAAAGCCGATTATGCATTTAATATGAATGTGATGTTAATGAATCATATAAATATTTAAGCAATATTATATACACCTCAAAACTTGTTGAAGAATGATATATAGGATATAATTATATATAAAAAGAGTTTAATAAACATCCATGGTTATTGTAAAAAAAAATTACATTGTAAACTAATTAAAAATTATTCTTGGTATATAATTTTTAAGGTGTTTATTATAAATTTCAATAAATTTATCAAATATAACAATTTGTAATTGGATAACAGTATAAAACATTTATGATATTGGCAGTCCATGTATTTTTTTTTTATAAATAAAATGAATAATTATTATAACTTCAAATAAGAAAATGTAGAGATGAAAACTCTTCGTATTCAAATTTTTGTTAATAGCACTGATTGATTGGTATAACAGGGAAAATATTCTATTGCTAAAACACGTTATAAAAAGAGACAATCATCTTTCAAATCATCCAAGAGTAAATGAAATATATAACTACTTAAGATGTAAATACATGCAAAATTGTTAGCACGATTGATTATTAATTAAAACCACAGATAAGAAAACTTAAGATAAATATTCAAACGTTTTAATTAGTGTTGTATATAACAGGGTAATTTTACTGGTAAATCAACTAATAAAAAGACAAAAGTTATCTTCATTTCATCAAAGAGCTAATGTTTTTGACAAAAAAAAAAGGCTTAAGCCAAACACTAATAATCAAATTAAACTTGGTGACCTTTCAAAATCAATATAGACGGGGTTGATTTGGTTTTATTTTAATCAATTTGATTTATTTGATCAGCTTCATGAATATCACAACCTTAACCAACCCCTCCCCGGTTTTGAATTTTGATGAATAGTGTTTCCCCAAATGAAACCTTATATTTTGATATCAGTTAGGAACTTATGAAGGTAGTATCATGTCTTTTGTAATTTCAAACCCCAACTATATTTGTGGGATATCAATTTGGTATTAGCTAGTTAGGAACTGATGAAGGTATTATTGTGTTCTTAGTAATTCAATCCGAATACAATGTATGTGTCTGCATTTAGTGTCTAATATGGTGTCTCAATATCTCCTAAAGAAGATATATATGAGGGTAAAAAATCAAAGCCAATAGATAGCTTTTGTTTGACCACTTGCATTCTTAATTGTGTTTACCAAAATATAGGATAGATTCATTGGTGCTTGGCTAGTTAGAAGTTCTTCACTCTTCTTAGTATTAATGTTCTCTCACGACCAATATGTCGTGTTTATATATATGATTCAACATTTTGCTTACCTATTAGGTTAAAAATTATTATTATTTCCCCTCAAAGTAAGAGAAAAGATGAAAAGAGTAATTGCTCTTGTCAATGTTAATTTCTTTGGTGAAGCTCAGTTGTTGTACTTTATATATGAATAAATAAATAAATAACACCTATTATTCTTTTCTACCCATGATCATACTTAAATTATCAACTAGCATGGTTGTATCCATACATCACTTTCCAACAATTTTTTTATTATAAATTATAGAGATATAAATTATTTTTATAGTAGTCTAAATACACTAAAAAAAATGGAGGTGACCATGGTGCCTCGAAGTCACCCCTTACCTCCGTCACTTATTAATTATTACACATACATTTCTCTCTCTCGTGTGTGTATATATATATTTATCTTAACATCTAAGTTAACTCAGTGTCCATGAATATTTTATTAATAAAGTAGAAGCAAGTAATTAAAATTGTTGTGGCATGCATGCAACGAGTGCGGCTGAAAATATGGGCGGCAAGTATAAGTTGCGTCCTAGTTTATTATTTGGAACCAACAATAAAGAACTGCATGTGCTAATAATGGAACTTCAAAATTAACTATATATATGGTTGGAATTTAATTTCTAAGGGTTACATGTACCAATTTTTTATTTTTTATTTTTTGATCAATCACAAATTTTAAAAAGTTTCAAATAAAACACTAACAGATTATTGATCTAACTAGAATTGAACTTGATTGTCTTAAATAAAGTTTTGAATTCAAGCTTTGTAAATAAATAAAAATAATATGGTTAAAAGAAATTTTTTTATTAAAAATAATTAGTCAAATTTCTTGGCAAAAATTGATTATTAGCCAAGTTGGTAAATACTTTATACAAATAATTTGTTTATAAAAAGTTTCAATTTTCCAACAAAATGAGCCTATAGAATATTTTACTTAAAAATAAAAAAGGCTTGCAGAACCCAAACTTTTGGATTAGAATACATCAGTTAAGAATGATAAAAGTGAAGGTAGATGATAAACACACCTCCACTCTCGTATAAACACACTCTCTTTTTTTAAAAAAATATATAAAATGTTTAAATTATTCTTTAAAAAAATGAAATTTCTAAATTTACACCTCCCTTCCCCGCACCCCCCTTCCCCGCACCCCCCTTATCCTGTATCTGCATGTAAAC